CTCTCCCTCACTCCTCGTCCCCCTCAAGCCCGGTTCCTGCTTGGGCTCCGGTAGCTGGTGGCCCCTTCCCCGCTGTACAGCTGCTGTGGCCGGCCTGCTCCTCCACCTGGGACCTGAGCTCTTTCTGCCTCTGATTCCTGCTGCATCCCGCCTGACGCCCAGGGGACCTCTCTAAGCCTTTTCTGACACACAGCGGTGGCTGCAGATCCCCGGTAAGATTCCAGACTCAAGATGGCCTTTCAGGCCAGCGTCAGCCCTCCTCACCCGCACGCACCACAACGCCACCACTCACAGCCTGCCATCGGCAAGGGAAACGGGGCCCTTTCATAGAAAACTGGCAGACTGAACAGAGATTCACGATGGCTTCAAACAAACGGAAAGGAGCTCACGTCCTCCAAAAACCAAAGAAATTCAAATTCAGACAGCCAGGAAGTATCATTCCTCACTTTCCAAACTGGCAAACATGGACGGGTGGTCCTGGGTGTTGGTGGGATGTCGGAAAGGTGCCTGTTGGGAGGGTGGGCACAGCACTGGGGGGCCATCTGGGCCTGCAGGGTGCCTGTAGCTTCATGCTAAGGAACCCGGAGGCACAGCCCCTTGGGGACCCCATTAGCCTCACTGTGGCCAGGCCCAGAGAAGCCCCTCGCAGTGAGGACACAGGAGCGCTCAGCCCCAGGGCAGGTCCACCATCTGTTCCAGGGCTGGGACTGTTCCTTCCTGCCCCTAGCTCCCTCACAGTCTCTGTCCCAGTGCAGTTAGTCCCCGATGTTTCTGAGTTACCAGCTGGAGGGAGCATGGCCCTTCAGCTGATCAGGGGCCCCCCAGTTGGGGTGGGTGGCTTGGCTCATGACCTCGGTGGAGGGGCCCCTGAGCACCTGGCTGTCAGCAGGAGGAAGCCAGAATGGCCCCAGCAACACTCCTTACAGAGCCGATAAATCCAGCCCCAACTGCCTGCCCCCTCTGCATCCACTGCCTGACTTTTTTATATTGATGCATTATTTATCTTTAAAAATGAGCAACACTGTTCGATTTCCACAGAGGCCACGTGGGACAGAGAGAGACAGATTATCTCCTGACCCTCCAGTGGCTGATGTAATGAGTCCCCCACACTGAAGCCCCTGTCCTCGGCTCCCAGACATGCCTTGGTTTGGCTTGGGGCCACCCGCTGGTACAGGAACGTCACTGGTGCTGTCCCTGACAGGCGACTCATTCACCTGAAGCCCTGAATGCCCATCCGTCCGGGTCCTGTATCAGGACCACATAGTCTTGACCCCGCCTCTCTCTTCCCTGCCTTCCTCAGGGCTGGGGGCCTCAGCTAATGGGGACAGTTTGGATGCTGCCCATTCGTTTGCCTACATCGCCAAGACAGACAGGATCTGGGAGCCTCACTACTCGCAGCAAATATGAGTGTTCAAAAAGAAATCCGAAGGCAGTATCCACGAGAATCCTTCATCTGCTCTGGGCAGGCAGATCTGAGCTTGGGACCTCCCAAGTAGGGATTCAGAGGAGCCACATTCCGCTTTCTAGGGGTGACCCTCAATCTGCTCCAAGTGGACTTGAGACATCTTCATAACAACAGTGACTAGCTACTAAAACAGATACATGCAGGCAGGAGTGTGTGTGCACACCCACACACATGCAAACATGCACACAGTCACACATGCAGTCACACATCCAAACACACATACACAATCACACACACATCCAAACACACACAAGTCACACACACGCATACACACACCCAAACACAGTCACACACACATGCAAACACGCACACGTAGTCACACCCACAGTCATACACACACGCAAACATCCACACACAGTCACGCAAACACATACACCCACATACACAGTCACACACATCCAAATACGCACACACAGTCACACACATGCAAACACGCACACAGTCACACACAAACACATACACACACCCAGATACACACAGTCACACACACATCCAAACACACACAAAACAGTCACACAAACACACATCCAGACACATACACAGTCACACAAACAGAAAAACACACCCAAACACACACATCCAAACACACACAATGACAAACACATACACACATACAGAGTCACACAGAAATGCACACAAAAACGCACCCCAAACGCACACACAAACACACACACACAGCAGAAAAGCAGCCATGCAGGGTATGCAGCCTCCCAGATGATCCACAGGCCCACAACCCTGCCTCCGGTCAGCCACACCCCACCAAGGGGGGGTCTATATCATCAGTAGAGCAGGGCAGAGGTGCCAGCAGGTCAGGTTAGAGAGACACAGCAGCTTTCATCCTGGTTCTCTCTCATGCGCTCTCTCTCTCTGTCTCTCCTCTCTCTCATCTCGTTTCCCTTCCTCTACATGGGGAGGGAACTCACTCCCTGCGAGCAGCCATGGGAACAAGCTTGGAAGTGGCTTTTCCAGCTCAGCACGCAGCCTGTGGAAGAGCACCCAGGTGAGTTGCTTCCTGCGCCTGGCTGCTGTGAGATGATACATGCTTGCTATAGGCCCCTATGTTTCGGAGTAATTTGTTACACAGCAGCAAAGGACCAACGTGCCTAAAGCAGCAGCAGAGCAGGGGTAGCCAGGCACCTAAGAAGAGCTGGTTATAAACACAGAAGAGTGGCTCAGTCTGTAATGCCAGCGCTTTGGAGCCAAGGACAGAACTGCTGGGGGCACAGAGTTTGAGACCAGCCTGGGCAACATAGTGAACCCTGTCTCTACAGAAGATTTAAAAAAGAAAACAAGCCGGGCGCGGTGGCTCAAGCCTGTAATCCCAGCACTTTGGGAGGCCGAGGCGCGCGGATCACGAGGTCAAGAGACCAAGACCATCCTGGCCAACCTGTCAAAACCCTGTCTCTACTAAAAATACGAAAATTAGCTGGGCGTGGTGGTGTGCACCTGTAGTCCCAGCTACTTGGGAGGCTGAGACAGAATTGCTTGAACCTGGGAGGCGGAGGTTGCGGTGAGCTGAGATTGTGCCACTGCACTCCAGCCTGGCGCCTGGCGACAGAGTAAGACTCCGTCTCGAAAAATAAAAATAAAAAAAAAAAAACATTAGCCAGGCATGGCTCCAATGCTTCCTCCGTGGGGACTTTGAATCTCTAGGCAGTGACAGAGAAGACTCCGAGACTCAGGATCAGCAGCAGCTGCCCTGAGAGCTGGGGTCCTCACACTGGGCCACCCCTCCACCTCATTGAACCACTCTGAGTAGGCCTGGGCCAGGCGATGCTTCCATGGGTTCCTTCCCACCTTCTAAGGGTTCTTTCACCCTGTGGCTTCAGCGGGACCTGATCTCATCCCCCAGACTGCCTTTTTTCACTTTGTTACTGAGGATTGGGCACGTGGTTACTGAGGGTGGTGCGCACCTATAGTCCCAGTTATTCCAGAGGCTGATGGAGGATCACTTGGGCTGGGGAGTTTCAGGCTGCAGTGAGCTATAATCGCACCACTGCACTCCAGCCTGGGCAACATGCAAGACCCTGTCTTAAAAAAAAAAAAAAAAGTACAGCAGGGAAGGGGAGGGAGAGAGGAGACCTTAGAGGTGCATGGCTTTCCTCTTCTGACAGAGGACAGTAGGGGAAGCCCTGCATTTGTGGCCCGAGCCCTGGGACGGATGAGCCTGAACACGCTCCTCTCCATGGCCCCGTCCCCTGGGGGCTGCCGGCCTGACTGTCTGGTCCTCCCCTCATTCATGGCACATGGTGTTTCTTCTGCCTGGAAAATTCTTGGTCCTCCATGTATCAGAAGCCACGCACTCACCTTCCAGGGCACTTCTGCCCACACAGTACCCGGGCTTCGGGGAGCTGCTGTCCAACACAGGGGCTGACTGCAGACCCACCCACACACCTGGCATACCGTGGCACTTGGTCAGTGTTTGCTGACTCAGGGCATGCACGTCAACTCTCTGGTCTGTTATGAACCAGAAAGTTGGGGTTGTGGTGATAACACGACTTATTTTTTATTGTTGTCGGTTTTGTTTTGTTGTTTGTTGTTGTTGTTTGTTTGTTTGAAACAGAGTCTTGATCTGTGTCCCAGGCTGGAGTGCAATAGGGCAGTCTTGGCTCACTGCAACCTCCACCTCCCGGTTCAAGTGATTCTCCTGCCTCAGCCTCCTGAGTAGCTGGGATTGCAGATGCCTGCCACCATGTCCGGCTAGTTCTGTACTTTTTGTAGAGACAGGGTTTCGCCATATTGGCCAGGCTGGTCTCCTAATCTTGTGATCCATCCGCCTTGGCCTCACAAAGTGCTGGGATTACAGGCATGAGCCACAGTGCCCTGCAGATCACAGGTTAACAACCTGCCCACGAGGTAGGAACCTCCCACCACGTTGATTCAAAAACTGAGGCACAAGGAGGTTGTGTAACTTGACACAGATTGCACAGCTATTCAGTGGCAGAGCCAGGACACAACCCAAGTAGGACGGCTCTGTGTGCACGCTCTTAACCACAGCACATGCTGCTTTCCTGGAATAAAACCACCTGCTTATAGAGGCCTCCCTCCATAAGCGCCTGGACCAGGACATCAGCCACCTGCCTCGTGGGCCTGGAGCTGGCCCTGCACCCGCCAGCCAGTCGGGTGAGGGGGCCCCCACCTCCATCGTGATTAGTTCAGGCAATCCAGGCCTCAACCAATCAGAACACAGCTCTCTGCCGCAGCTCGCCCCGGAGCCCCAACTTCTGCTCTTTCCCAGCATGGTGGCCTAGATAATGTCTCACTCACTCTGTCGCCCAGGCTGGAGTGCAGCGGCACAATCTCAGCTGACTGCAATCTCTGCCTCCCAGGTTTAAGAAATTCTCCTGCCTCAGCCTCCCACATAGCTGGGATTACAGGCACCTGCCACCACCAGGCCCAGCTAGTTTTTGTACTTTTAGTAGAAATAGGGTTTCACCATATTGGCCAGGCTGGTCTCAAACTCCTGACCTCAAGTGATCCGCCGACCTCAGCCTCCCAAAGTGCTGGAATTACAGGCCTGAGTCACTGTGCCCGGCCACAAGGCCCACTTTTGAAGCCAGAAGGGCCGGATACAGCCTTCCACTCAGCAGCCCTGTGCTTCCCAGATCCCATGTTTCTGCGGGGACTTTGAATCTCCAGGCAGTGACAGAGAAGACTCAGAGACGGAGATCAGCAGCCGCACGGAGAGTTTGGGTCCTCACAGAGGATGCAGGCTGGGCCACGCCCCCTGCCCCACCGAACCGCAGTGAGAGCGCACGGGCGGGGCGACGCTTCCCTGGGCTCCCTCCCACCTCTGAGAAGGGCTCTATCGCGCTGTGGCTTCAGTGGGACCTGGTCTCATCCCCCCAGACTGCCTTTGTTCACGTCGTTACTGAGGGTTGGGCATCTGTGGCATGCAACCAAGAATCCTGGACAACACAGCCTGAATGCTGTCATCAGGGAAAGCGAGAACCTGTCTGCCATAGCCTCGCCGTCGATCTGCAGAGGCAGGCCCACCGGCTATCCAGGTAAGAACGTGGTGCTAGTGAGGAATAAATTCACATGCAAGCAGCAGAATACCCAACCGACGGGCGATTCCAAGTACGGAGGGTTTTTTTCTTTCTCAGGTTAACTAGAAATCTGGAGGTGGGAGTTATCCCATCAGCAACCCAGACTGGTGGGCGTTTGTCTATGTTGTTTACAGGGCGGCTGCTGGAACTCCAAATACCACACACGCCTCTACAGTCAAGGCACAAAGAAAGGACGAAGAGACAGGGCCAGTCACATCTGTGCCCTTTTATAGGGAAAGACAAACCTCCCCTAAAGCCCTGCAGCAGATTCCCCCGAGGCCTCAACGGCCACAGCAGGCCCCATGAGCCGCCGTACTGTGAGGGATTCTGAGACGGCACAGAGCCAGGTTGTCATGGCAGCACTGGCCAAGCATGCTCTGTTCCCAGGGGCTTGGCAGACCCCCAAAAAGTAGAGTTCCATAGGCAGGAAAGAAGGGGAATGGATATAGGGCAGGCGGCAGGTCTGCCTGCCACAGGTGGGAAGACAAGGATGGGGAGGCTCACAGACTCCCCAGCCGGGTGGGGATCAGGTCAAGGCTGCCTGGCGGGCTACAAAACCTGAGATCCTGCTGCTCACCTGGAGGGGGCAGAGCCCTCCTCCTCCTGCTGCTGCTGCTGCTGCCCCAGCCACCTCAGCAACAGCATGGATGCCACAGATGCCAGCCACCAGATGTCCACTAGACCCACCGCCAGCCTCACTGCCAGAACCGGTTCTATGCTGCCCCCGCTTATGGTGTGAAGACACCACAGGCTTCCAACTGAAGGTTGGAGTGGTTGGTGGAGCCCGGGCCATGTGACCGAGTCCTGACAGCAAGGGATGCTGGGAACGTGAGTATCTACCATTTTTCAATTTCTAAGGAGAGATGAGTCCTTTGCAAACTGGAGATTAACTTTAGGTGAGATAAGGCCGGGCACGGTGGCTCAAGCCTGTAATCCCAGCACTTTGGGAGGCCGAGGCGGGTGGATCACAAGGTCGAGAGATCGAGACCATCCTGGTCAACATGGTGAAACCCCGTCTCTACTAAAGATACAAAAAAATTAGCTGGGCATGGTGGCACGTGCCTGTAATCCCAGCTACTCAGGAGGCTGAGACAGGAGAATTGCCTGAACCCAGGAGGCGGAGGTTGCGGTGAGCCGAGATCGCGCCATTGCACTCCAGCCTGGGTGACAAGAGCGAAACTCCATCTCAAAAAAAAAAAAAAAAAAAAAAAAAACTTCAGGTGAGATTAACTTTAACATGCAGGACGCATAAGTTGGCACAACTTTTTGGAAAGTAATGTGGCAATGCATATGAGCAGCCTAAAAAAGGCTATAGCCTGTCACCCAGTAATTTCATTTTAGATAATCTCTCTTAAAATGGTGATGGGGGGCAGACGCAGTGGACGCCCGTAATCCCAGCACTTTGGGAGGCTGAGGTCAGCAGATCACTTGAACCCAGGTGTTCAAGACCAGCCTGGACAACAGGGTGCAACCCCGTTTCTAAAAAAAAAATCTACAAATCAGCCAGGCATGGTGGACCATACCTGCAGTCCCAGCTACTTGGGAGGCTGAGGTGGGAGGATCTCTTCAGCCCTAGATGTCAAAGCTGCAGTGAGCTATGATTGCACCACGGAACTCCAGCCTGGGCAACAGACTGAGACCCTCATCTCTTAAAACAAAAAAAAAGGTAGTGTCTGGAGTGATAGGAAACCTTTAACACTCATGTCGTCTTGACAGAGGTGATCAAACCATAGTGATGTGGCAGCAACTGACTTGTCCAATGAGGAGAATAAAAGAATCTCAGCCCAGCCATCCTGCAATGAATATTTTATTACCCAGGGAAAAAAAGCTTCAGTTGTAATGGCAAATGGAAAGAAGAACAGGATATACCTGTAGTTGTCTTGGCAAAGTCTTACGAGGTATTATTCATTGAAAGCAACAAGCCAGTTGTGCAAGCCTGCCCGATTTGAAATTAGTTGGCAGGAATATTTGGAAAATTCCTCATATTAAAAAAAAAAAAAAATTCTCCTTGAAAATTAGGAACAGGCGGCCGGGCACGGTAGCTCACACCTGTAATCCCAGCACGTTGGGAGACTGATGTGGGAGAAGTGCTTGAGACTGGGAGTTCAAGGCCAGCCTGGGCCACGTGGTGAGAGCCCCATCTCTACAAAAAAATTTGAAAATTAACCAAGCATGGTGGCTCACACCTGTGGTCCCAGCTACCTGGGGAGGCTGCAGTGAGTTGTGTTTGCACCTCCGTACTACAACCTGGAAGACTGAGCAAGACAGTGTCTCCAATAAAAAAGATCAGATCGGCCGGGCGCGGTGGCTCACGCCTGTAATCCCAGCACTTTGGGAGGCCGACGTGGGTGGATCACGAGGTCGAGATCGAGACCATCCTGGTCAACATGGTGAAACCCCGTCTCTACTAAAAATACAAAACATTAGCTGGGCATGGTGGCGCGTGCCTGTAATCCCAGCTACTCAGGAGGCTGAGGCAGGAAAATTTCCTGAACCCAGGAGGCGGAGGTTGCGGTGAGCCGAGATCGCGCCATTGCACTCCATCCTGGGTAACAAGAGCGAAACTGTCTCAAAAAAAAAAAAAAGTATCGTACCGGCCGGGTGTAGTGGTGCACACCTGCACTCCCCACTACTCGGGAGGCTGAGGCACAAGGATCACTTGAGTCCAGTGGGTCAAAGCTGCAGCGAGCCAGGACTGCATCAGTGCACTCTGGACAGCAGAACGAGACCCCATGTCTTAAATAAATGAATACATACGTATCAGGTCACGGAAGGATAGATCCTTTTGGTTTCTTTTTTGGAAAAGGTCTCACTCTGTTCTCCAGGCTGGAGTGCAGTGGCACAATCTCGGTTCACTGCAGCCTTGACCTCAAGAGCTCAAGTGATCCTTCTCTCTCAGCCTCTGGAGTAGTTGAGACCACAGGCGCACACCACCACGCCTGGCTAATTTTGTTTCCCTTTTGTAGAGATGGAGTCTCACTATGTTTGCCAGCCTGCTATCAAACCCCTGGGCTCAAGTGATCCTCCCGCCTCGGCCTCCCAAAGTGTTGGGATTACAAGTGTCAACTGTAATCCTAGTCCATGGTTTTCTACCTGCAGGTCTGCTTGCCACCAAACCTGACAGCAAGAGTATGTTATTTATGTGTAAAATATATATTTTTTTTTTTTTTTTTTTTTTTTGAGACGGAGTTTCGCTCTTTACCCAGGCTGGAGTGCAATGGCGCGATCTCGGCTCACCGCAACCTCCGCCTCCTGGGTTCAGGCAATTCTCCTGCCTCAGCCTCCTGAGTAGCTGGGATTACAGGCACGCACCACCATGCCCAGCTAATTTTTTGTATTTTTAGTAGAGACAGGGTTTCACCATGTTGACCAGGATGGTCTCGATCTCTTGACCTCGTGATCCGCCCGCCTCGGCCTCCCAAAGTGCTGGGATTACAGGCTTGAGCCACCGCGCCCGGCCTTTTTTTTTTTTTTGAGACGGAGTTTCGCTGTTGTTACCCAGGCTGGAGTGCAATGGCGCAATCTCGGCTCACCGCAACCTCCGCCTCCCGGGTTCATGCAATTCTCCTGCCTCAGCCTCCTGAGTAGCTGGGATTACAGGCATGCGCCACCATGCCCAGCTAATCTTTTGAATTTTTTTTTTTTTTTTTTTTTTTTTTTTTTTTGAGACGGAGTTTCGCTCATGTTACCCAGGCTGGAGTGCAGTGGCGCGATCTCGGCTCACTGCAACCTCCGCCTCCTGGGTTCAGGCAATTCTCCTGCCTCAGCCTCCTGAGTAGCTGGGATTACAGGCACGTGCCACCATGCCCAGCTAATTTTTTGTATTTTTAGTAGAGACGGAGTTTCACCATGTTGACCAGGTTGGTCTCGATCTCTCGACCTCGTGATCCACCCGCCTCGGCCTCCCAAAGTGCTGGGATTACAGGAATTTTTTGTATTTTTAATAGAGACAGGGTTTCACCATGTTGACCAGGATGGTCTTGATCTCTTGACCTTGTGATCCACCGGCCTCGGCCTCCCAAAGTGCTGGGATTACAGGCTTGAGCCACCGCGCCCGGCTGTGTAAAATATTTTTAAAGCATACATTCCAAAGTATAGAAGGGCCTTCTACTTCTGGCCATCTTGGGACACCTGGCATGGGACTTACTCTCCTGCCGTATACAACTAGAAAACTAGACAGAAAGGTCCTGAAGCAGCTGTTTTTAGACGTAGCACAAGAGGCAGTGCACGACGTGATCCCTAAGAGATGCAAGGGATGTGAGCCCTGCAGTTACCATGGCTTTCTACCTGCAGGTCTTTCTGGACTGAGACACAGAACAGAGACGTCCTGTGAACCGAGACATAGAGACTGGAGTTTGAAGAGGCTGAAACGATTGGAATTTCCAAGGCAGAGGGCCTGTGTGGGGGTAGCCATGCAGATGGTGAGTTCTAGAAATCCAGATAGAGGCTCCCTTAAGGATTTTGCTAAATCTTTTTTTTGTTTTGTTTTGTTTTGTTTTGTTTTGAGACGGAGTTTCGCTCTTGTTACCCAGGCTGGAGTGCAATGGCGCGATCTCGGGTCACCGCAACCTCCGCCTCCTGGATTCAAGCAATTCTCCTGCCTCAGCCTCCCAAGTAGCTGGGATTACAGGCACGCGTCACCACGTCCGGCTAATTTTTTGCATTTTTAGTAGAGACGGGGTTTCACCATGTTGGCCAAGATGGTCTCGATCTCTTGACCTCGTGATCCACCCGCCTCGGCCTCCCAAAGTGCTGGGATTACAGGCATGAGCCACCGCATCCGGCCGGATTTTGCTAAATCTTAAACTGTGCATATGTCCAAGGAAAACCCATGACACTGAGCAAAGAGTGACAGCTGGGCAGCTGTAACACGGAGCGCATGACAGGGTGCACAGGACCTGAGGACGTTCAACAGACTTCATCAGGCACTCAGGGCACATGGTGAAGGTTACGCAAGAGTCTCACCTTGGTAGCAAATCTAAACTATCCCAGAACAAAAGCGTCATTTAGACTTTACTAAACAAAACTTCAGAATAAGCCTCAAAAATATCAACCAGCTCTGCAAACTGACTTTCCGTCAAAACTAACTTCAGCATTCTAAAAAGAGACGACAAAAAAAAAAAAAAAAAAAAAAAACAGAGACTCAATGATGTAAAGATTACAGTGTCATTCAGTGAAAAATTAGGAGGCATGTATTGAAGCAGGAAAATGTTACCCATAACCAGGAGAAAAATCAGTCAATAGATACAGACCAATACTATCACGCTGGTTGTTAAATTAAAAAAACAATAAAAAATAAGGGCCGAGTGTGGTGGCTCCTGCCTGTAATCCCAGCACTTTGGGAGCCCAAGGTGGGCAGATCACTTGAGGTAAGGAGTTCAAGACCAGCCTGGCCAAAATGCTGAAACTCCATCTCTACTAAAAATACAAAAATTAGCTGGGTGTGGTGGCAGACACGTGTAATCCCAGCTACTAAGAGGGCTGAAGCAGGAGAATCTCTTTTTTCTTTTTCTGAGCCCGGTTCTCACTTTGTCACCAGGCTGGAGTACAGTGATTGGATCTCAGCTCACTGCAACCTCCACCTCCTGGGTTCAAGGGATTCTCCTGCCTCAGCCTCCTGAATAGCTGGGACTGTAGGCTCACACCACCACGCCTGGCTAATTTTTGTATTTTTAGTAGAGATGGGGTTTCACCATGTTGGCCAGGATGGTCTTGGTCTCTTGACCTCGTGATTCACCCGCCTCAGGCTCCCAAAGTGCTGGGATTTGCACTCTGCCTCAGAGGCTGAGGCAAGAGGATTACTTGATCCCAAGAGTTCAAGGTACAGTGAGCTATGATTATGCCACCGCACTCCAGCCGGGGCTGCAGAGTGAGACCTTATCTCTTAATTCTTTTTTCAACACTTGAAGTGTGATTTCTGCTGAGATCATCACTTTCACAACATGGTTAAGTAGAAAAATTTTAAGTCAAATCATCATAAGTCAGGGACTATCTGTGTGTGTGTGTGTGTCATGCACCAGGTCACAGTGACCTTTAAAATCCTTAGCTGCTAATTCCTATCTTGGCCTCCTTTAAAAAAATATTTATTGCTCTTATTTTTTATTCTTTTTTTTTTTTTTTTTTTTAATTTGAGACACAATCTCACTTTGTCGCCCAGGCTAGAGTACAGTGGCGTGATCTCGGCTCACTGCAACCATTGCCTCCAAGGTTCAAGTGATTCTCCTGCCTCAGCTTCCTGAGTAGCTGGGACTACAGATTCTCACCACCACCCCCAGCTAATTTTTGCATTTTTTTTTTTTTTTTTTTTTTAATGAGACGGAGTTTTGCTCTTGTCACCCAGGCTGGAGTGCAATGGCGCGATCTCGGCTCACCGCAACCTCCGCCTCCTGGGCTCAGGCAATTCTCCTGCCTCAGCCTCCTGAGTAGCTGGGATTACAGGCACGCGCCACCATGCCCAGCTAATTTTTTGTATTTTTAGTAGAGACGGGGTTTCACCATGTTGACCAGGATGGTCTCGATCTCTCGACCTCGTGATCCACCCGCCCGCCTCGGCCTCCCAAAGTGCTGGGATTACAGGCTTGAGCCACCGCGCCCGGCAATTTTTGCATTTTTAATAGAGACAGGGTTTCACCATGTTGGTCAGGCTGGTTTTGAACTCCTGACCTCAGGTGATCCACCTGTCTCGGGCTCCTAAAGTGCTAGGATTACAGGTATGAGCCATCACTCCTGGCCTTTCTTTCTTTCTTCTCTTTCTTTTTTTTCTTCTTTTTTTTTTTGAGACGGAGTTTCGCTCTTGTTACCCAGGCTGGAGTGCAATGGCGCGATCTCGGCTCACCGCAGCCTCCACCTCCTGGGTTCAGGCAATTCTCCTGCCTCAGCCTCCTGAGTAGCTGGGATTACAGGCACGTGCCACCATGCCCAGCTAATTTTTTGTATTTTTAGTAGAGATGGGGTTTCACCATGTTGACCAGGATGGTCTCAATCTCTTGACCTCGTGATGCACCCGCCTCGGCCTCCCAAAGTGCTGGGATTACAGGTGTGAGCCACCATGCCGGGCCAGTTTTTCACTTTTTTTGTTTGTTTGTTTTGAGACAGAGCCTTGCTCTGTGACCCATGCTAGAGGGCAGTGGCATGATTTCGGCTCACTGCAACCTCTGCCTCTTGGATTCAAGTGATTCTCATGCCTCAGCTACCTGAGTAGTTGGGATCACAGGTGTGCATTACCATGCCTGGCTAATTTATTTTTCTTTTTTCTTTTTCTTAAATGAAGATGGGGTTTCACATGTTGGCCAGGCTGGTCTCAAACTCCTGACCTTAGGTGATCTGCCCACCTAGGCCTCCCAAAGCGCTGGGATTACAGGCATGAGCCACCACACCAGGCTGCCTGGCTAATTTTTGTATGTTTAGTAGAGATGACGTTTTACCATGTTGGCCAAACTGGTCTCGAATTCCTTGGCCTCAAGTGATCTGCTCACCTCTGGCTCCCAAAGCGCTGGGATTACAGGCGTGACCCACTGTACCAGGCCTGTTTTTCACTTTTTTTTTTTTTTTTTTTTGAGACGGAGTTTCGCTCTTGTTACCCAGGCTGGAGTGCAATGGCGCGATCTCGGCTCACCGCAACCTCTGCCTCCTGGGTTCAGGCAATTCTCCTGCCTCAGCCTCCTGAGTAGCTGGGATTACAGGCACGCACCACCATGCCCAGCTAATGTTTTGTATTTTTAGTAGAGACGGGGTTCCACCATGTTGACCAGGATGGTCTCGATCTCTTGACCTTGTGATCCACCCGCCTCGGCCTCCCAAAGTGCTGGGATTACAGGCTTGAGCCACCGCACCCGGCATTTTTCACTTTTTGCATAGACAGGGATCTCACTATGTTGCCCAGGCTGATCTCAAACTCCTGGACTCAAGTGACCCTCCCACCTTGGCCTCCCAATGCCTTAGGGTTACATGGATGAGCCACCACACCCAGTCAACCACAGAAGGTAGATAGATGACTGGTAAACCCATGAAGCCAGGCGTGATGGCACATGCCTGCAGTCCCAGCTTCCGGGGAGGCCGAGCTGGGAGGAGGTGGGATTGCTTGAGTCCAGGAGTTCAAGGCTTTGATCCCACCTGTGAATAGCCCCTTTACCCGAGCCTAGGCAACAGCAAGACTTCACTTCTAAAAAATGAAATAGCCGGGCGCGGTGGCTCAAGCCTGTAATCCCAGCACTTTGGGAGGCCGAGGCGGGTGGATCACGAGGTCGAGAGATCGAGACCATCCTGGTCAACATGGTGAAACCCCGTCTCTACTAAAGATACAAAACATTAGCTGGGCATGGTGGCGCGTGCCTGTAATCCCAGCTACTCGGGAGGCTGAGGCAGGAGAATTGCCTGAGCCCAGGAGGCGGAGGTTGCGGTGAACCGAGATCGCACCATTGCACTCCAGCCTGGGTAACAAGAGCGAAACTCCGTCTCAAAAAAAATAAAATAAAAATAAAAAAATAAAAAAATAAAAAATGAAATAAAACTTAGTAAACATGATGATATGCACCAGAGGCCAGGCACAGTGGCTCACGCCTTAATCCCAGCACTTTGGGAAGCAGAGGCAGGAGGACTGCTTGAGCCCAAGAGCTAGAGACCAACTTGGGCAGCAAAGGAAAATTCCATCTCTACAAAATAATTAAAAAGTTAGCCGGGAATGGCGGCATGTGCCTGCAGTCCCAGCTACAGAACGAGGCAGGAGGTGGCCTGAGCCCAGGAGGTCAAGGCTGCAGTTGACACCATTGCACAACAGCGTGGGTGACAGCAACACCCTAGCTCAAAAGGAAATGTGCCTCACATGATTTGTCATTAGAGAATGCAAATTAAAGCCACAAGATACAGTTCCACCAGTATCAGAATGGCTAAAAAATTTTTTATTTTTTTTTTTTTGAGACGGAGTTTCGCTCTTGTTACCAAGGCTGGAGTGCAATGGCGCGATCTCGGCTCACCGCAACCTCTGCCTCCTGGGTTCAGGCAATTCTCCTGTCTCAGCCTCCTGAGTAGCTGGGATTACAGGCACGCGCCACCATGCCCAGCTAATGTTTTGTATTTTTAGTAGAGACGGGGTTTCACCATGTTGACCAGGATGGTCTCAATCTCCTGACCTCGTGATCCACCCGCCTCGGCCTCCCAAAGTGCTGGGATTACAGGCTTGAGCCACCGCGCCCGGCCTTAAAAAATGTTTTAAACTGGCATGGGATTTCCTCATCCCAGCACTTTGGGAGGCTGACACAGGCAGATGACTTGAGATCAGGAGTTCAAGACCAGCCTGGCCAACATAGTGAAACCTTGTCTCTACTAAAAATACAAACATTAGCCAAGTGTGGTGGTGCGTGCCTGTAATCCCAGCTACTCAGCAGGAAAACTGCCTGACCTCGGGGGACGGAAGTTACAGTGAGCCGAGATCGTGCCACTGCACTCCAGCCTAGGCAACAGAGTGAGACTCTGTCTCAAAAAAAAAAAAAAAGGCATTTCCCTGATATGAACAAAGATTTTCTGATATGTAATTAAAAACAACTACTCGCCGGGCGCGGTG